ACCCCACCACACCGCCAGCGACCAAGTGCACCCCCCCAGCCGTCCACCCCCGGAACCCAGCAGCCACCCCAGCCAGGGGGCCACCCACCGGAATCAAGAGCCACACCTCAGGAGACAAAGCAGCACCAGGAAGGACGGAGAGCCAGCCCCGCCCCCGGCGACCGTCCAAGCCCCAAGCCCACCCACAGCCCAGGACCATACCTGGCGGTCCGCCCTTCTTCAGGACCCCCTCCCCAAATGGCAGTCGGGGAACGGGATGGGAATAAAGACCCTGACACCCACACCCCCACCCCAAGATGTACTGTTGGTGCGTGTTGTTCTATAGAGCAATTTTAAAAAGGAAAGAAGAAGAGGCGGAGGCCGGCGTGGTGCCAGTTTCCCCTCCACCACTACTCTAACCCAAAACCCTAAGTGTCTATATGCAAACCTTGAGGGGTGGGCACAGGCACAGGAGGCAAGAGTGGTGCCATCCGGCCACCTATAGCCATGAGTGCCCAACATAAGTTCCAATATGTGAATTTCATGAAAATGTTAAGAGTGAATGTCTAAGATGTACAATAAAATTTGGGGCCCAGGTGGTTATGGCAATACAAATGTAATATTGTTGCTCTTATAACACAACTGTGCCCCAAAAAAACCTACATGGGTGAAGTTGAAAATGAAGAGGATGGAGGTGTGTGGCGAGGGATGGGGAGAATAAACTGAGGGAGCAAAATGCTCCCACAGGGAGTCAGCTCCCCCGCTGGCCCCAGTAAGCCCTCCCTTTCCCCGAAACCCACTCAGGAAGAGCAGCCCAACTACCTCTCCCTCCAGGCTGACTACCAAGCCCACGGAACCCCAGACCATGGACCTTGAACATGATTAAGGGCTGAAGGAACTGTCCAAGGTCCTGAAAGTGCTGGCATGTTTCAGGACCTTGAACAGTGAGAAAGGATGAAGGAGCTTTCGAAGGTCCTGAAAGTGGTGGAATGTTTTAGGACTTTAGACAGTGTGAAATGCTGAAGGAACTGTCCCAGGTCCTTAAAGAGCTGGCATGTTTCAGGATCTTGGACAGTGTGAATGGCTGAAGGAGCTGTCTAAGATCCTGAAAGTGCCGGAATGTTTTAGGACTTTGGACAGTGTGAAATGCTGAAGGAACTGTCCCAGGTCCTGAAAAAGCTGGCATGATTCATGACCTTGAACATGATTAAGGGCTGAAGGTACTGTCCATGGTCCTGAAAGATCTGGCATGTTTCAGGACCTTGAAAAGTGAGAAAGGATGAACTGTCCAAGATTCTGAAAGAGCTGGCATGTTTCGGGACCTTGAACAGTGAGAAAGGATGAAGGAACTGTCCAAGGTCCTGAAAGAACTGGCATGTTTCAGGATCTTGGACAGTGTGAACGGCTGAAGGAGAGTGTGAACGGCTGAAGGAG